GGTGGGGGATTATATGGTGGGCAAGCAGATTGGTGCGGGTTCGTTCTCGACGGTGTGGCACGCGCGCCACCGGGTCCACGGCACGGAGGTCGCGATCAAGGAGATCGTCACCTCGCGGCTCAACCCCAAATTGCAGGAGAGCCTCAAGTCGGAAATTTTCATACTTAAGAGGATTAATCACCCGAATATCATCCGATTGCACGACATGATCGAGGTGGGCTGCTGTTTTATCGCTCAAAAATTTGATCTTTTTTTTTTTTTTTGTGAAAATATATAAATGTGCGGTGGAAAGAGTTGTTTTCTATTGTTTATTTATTTATTTATTTATTTTTTTTTATTATAGTTTATCTTTTTTGGTGCTTTTTCCCTTGTTGGAGATTAACTGTGGAGTTGATTGGTGTTTTCTGTTTGCTTCAATGTTTTGTGGTTTTTAAGTAAAGGGCTGTTGGTTAGGATACTGTGTGTGCAAACTATATGTTGTTTGATTATGAGATTAATGCAGACCTATAGGACTTCTCTTGGGTTGTGTTTGGGTGAAGGGAATTAAATCTTTGGTTTCAAATACTTTAATTTGGTTTCGGAAAATTTCAAATCCAATAACAAATATTAGTGTTTTCTCCAATTTTTTGTTGATTAAATTGTAGAAATTTAATGGTTTTGTAAAAATACAGCTCATACAATCAACAAAAAATTCGATACTCTAGGTAAAATAGCTTCTCGAGCTAATCAAGCCTATAAAAATTAATACTTTCGTGCAGTTTTCTTTTTCCTTCTTTTTTTATTGTCCCCTTGCATGTAAAGTTTAAGCTGTGCCAGTGTATGTGAAATGTTTGTGCTGTGTGGATGTAAAAAATGTGTACTCTGTGTGAAATGTCCATAGTGTGTGCCTTTTGTGCGTGAGATATGTAAACTGGTTTATTTTGTATGTGTGTATGTGACATAGAGAAAGCGTCGTGTGTGTTTGTAAGTGTATTATCTGCTGGTTTTATCGGATTACTGGTTTGTCTTGTTTAATCTCTTGTGCTCCATGGCAAAAAAGTGAGATAAGTCAAGTAATGTTTTTCTCTACCTGTTACTGTTTCGATGGATTCTTAGCCAATTTTGGCTAAGTCATATACTTGGTTTATTGTGACACATATCATAATGGCATGTTGATTGCATGTTTTTAGAGGAGAATAGTGCTTGAAGAGAATCTAATCATTTGTCCGTGATTATAGACGTATTCTTTCTGTGTCGACGAATTACGTAACTCTAAACAAGTTAATTGTGTGTAATAGGAATCTGGAAAGATATACATTATATTGGAGTATTGCAAAGGAGGAGATCTTTCCATTTATATTCAACAACGCCAAGGGAAAATCTCTGAGGAAACTGCAAAGCATTTTATGCAGCAGCTAGGTATCCTCTCATTTTCTTTTTGTATGCTGTTGTATATTGTTTCACATTTTGGATACTAATGGTATGAGTCTATTAATCTAAATAATGCAGCGGAGGGTCTAAAAGTACTTCGTGAAAACAATCTTATACACCGGGATTTAAAGCCGCAGGTTTGTCTTGAAAATAAACTTTACATTTTGTTCACTTCTCTAATTTCATCCTTGCCATCGTTGTGACAAGTATTTGAATTTAAATATATAGCTCTCGTACATATATTAGCAACATGGACTTATTATGAGACTCATTCACTCCCCAAGTACAAGCTCTTTCACAAATGTTGCATCTCCCTTTCATATTATCAAGAGCTATCGTATATAAATATATATAAATACAATATTTATAGTCAGTAAGTTTATCCGAAACATCTGTTATTTGGGTGGCTGACTTCAACCTTAAGTTCATATAAGGAGTTTCTTTTCCAGATTTTATAAATTTATTGATTTTATTCTCTTCAAAATTTCCGTTCAGCTAATCAAACTTTTATCTTCTATGCGTGAAGTGTTTTTTTTTTTTTTTTTTTTTTT